CAATGACACTGCAGGTGATGGTGGTAAAACGGCATTATCCATATCTCTTGAACTCGACTGAACTGTATTCTCTTCAAATCCGATTATTTATGAGCTCCTAAAGGTATTGTACCAAACTAAATGTTCACCATGATCCTAAACTTGTGCTGATTGACTTTTCTAAATTTTGCACGACCCTGTAAGATATATAACTGAGACCTTTTCTGTCCCTCAAATACAACTTTTGTACCATTACAAACCTTCAAAACTCTACTTCCACAAAAAATAATCATAACCTTTTGAATCAATGATAGACAACAAGATGTTATTTTTCTTTAAATCTGGAACATGTCGAACCTGGCCAAGTGTTCTAATTGTCCCATTCAAACGCTTCAATCTGATTGTGCCAATTCCAGCAACCCGACAATGTGCGTTGTTTCCCATAACCACGACACATTTGGAAGTAGTTCCATATATAGCAAACAAGTCCTTATTATGACATATATGAAACACACATGTTGAATAAAAAATCCAATCATCTTTCGATTTAAACTAAATGTCAGAAATAGCTAAGAGTTCCCCATCACTTACAACGTTCTCCATGAGGTCTGCTTCGCCTGAAGTATCTGAATATCTACTTGCAGTCATCCTTTTTTTATTCTGCAATTTGTAGCAATCCTTCTTTAAGTGTCCTTTCTTCTTGCAGTAATTACAAATTTGATTACTGAACTTAAATTTCGATTTGCCCCTTCCAGAACTACCATGAGCAACCATGCCTTCTTTATCCCTGGCCTCAAAAACTAGATGCTTCACCTTCTCTTTTGCATACAAAGTATCATACACTTCCTCTATAGTGATAGTATCACAACTATACAAAATCGTGTCTCTAAATGAAGAAAACGAAACGGGCAAGACCCACAATAGAATCAATGCCAAATCTTTTTCATCATATTCTACTTCCAAAGTTTCCAAATCAGCGGCAATCTCCACAAATACAGCCAAGTGATCTTCCAATGATGATCCTTCTGTCATTCGATGAGAGTATAAATGCTGCTTGAAGTTCAACTTGCTTGTCAGACTTTTAGTCATACATAATTGCTCCAACCTCAACCATAAAACAACTGCTGAATTCTCCTTCAAAATGTCTTGAAGAATAGTATTTGATAAATGGAGATGAATGTGAGAAACTGCCTTCTTATCCTAAGATCCAAAAGCAGAATGTCATACTTCATGAAAGCTATCACAAATAAAAAATCTTGTACAAATTAAACAGTGTGCTCTTGCGGAACTACTGAACGACTCCGATACCAATTGTTATAAAACAAATAAGATGCCAGAATAGCTCTAATACTAATTATTGTGGAACAAACCACCGAATTGAGATGTTGAAGTTATATGACAAATAATAATGAAATATTTGATCAAACATAAGAATAAAGAAGACAAAAATATGACAGATGAATTAAGAGATTTTATTGACTCAAGAATAATGGAGAAGAGAGAAAAATTACAATAGATCTAATAATTCTATTAATTTATTTTCTCACACTATAAAATTGTATAAAAAAGCTCATTATTCATAGGAAAATAAGTAAAGGATGTCCAAACCCATCTAGTATAATTGTTGATGAAATATGATACCATAAAATTGAGTACAAAACAAATTCCAACTTTTAGTGGACTTTTAAAATAGAAATTCAACATGACATAAGACTTCAATAATATTCCAAATTAGAATTCTTTATAAAATACACTTCAATTAGAATTCTTAAATAATTTCAACAAAAAATTCGAATCACATCCAAATTCTAACAATAGACAAAATTCACGGGTGACAAATGGATAAACATTTTAAAACTTCAGCGACCTTAAAATTTTTAAGTGAATAGTGATGAAACAATTAATCCAAAAAAGCATCAAATGAACTTAAATCACGTCTAAA